ACAATTTATGAAAACCGAATATACAGCCTTAAAATAGAATGTGGGCCTAAATACCCAGAAGCACCCCCATCTGTAAGATTTGTAACAAAAGTCAATATGAGCGGCGTGAGTAGTTCAAATGGCGTGGTAAGTCCCTCCTGCCCACGGTGCTCTGCCGGCTTATCCTCCGCAGGTTATCACAGTGTGTCTGCAGCACTGGGGCAGGGCTACTTCCATTGTGTCTTGTCACTCCTCTGAGCTCACCCCTGGAGCCCTGTACTGTCACTGATAAGAGTGTTGACCGGATGCAGAAACTGAGGCAGAGGCTTGGCCTTTCCGACATCTTTACATGGCCCTTGACCACTGCCACGCTACGGCTTTAATTTTATTTATTTACTTTGTGGCATTGGTGTTTTGTTCGTTTGTCCTTGTTACAGTGTCGGGTCCCTGGAAACTGAGGCTACAGACAACTGTGAGCTGCCATGTGTGTGCTGGGAGTTAAACTCAAGTCCTCTGGAAGAGCAGCCAGTGCTCTTAACCGCTGAGCCATCTTTTCAGCCCGTTTGCTTTTTCTTTCTTTTCTTTTTCTCTCTTTTCTTTCTTCCTTTCTTTCTTCCTTCCTTCCTTCCTTTCTTTCTTTCTTTCTTTCTTTCTTTCTTTCTTTCTTTCTTTCTTTTTTGTTTTTTGAGAGGATCCTGTTCTGTAGCCGTGTCTAGCTTTGGAACTCACTATGTAGCCCAGGCTGGCCTCTACCCATGGCAGTCAGTCCTCCTGCCCCCTCCCAAGTGTCTAACTGGGACCTTACTTTCTAAGTGCATTTTTTTTAAAGATTTATTTATTTATAATGTATACAATGGCCTGCCTGCATGTGTTCCTGCAGACAGAAGTTGGCACCAGACCTTATTACCGGTGGTTGTGAGCCACCATATGATTGCTGGGAATTGAACTCAGGACCTCTGGAAGAGTAGTCAATGCTCTTAACCACTGAGCCATCTCTCCATCCCCCTTAAGTGCATTTTGACAACAGAATCTCAAATTCAGGCCTTGCCCTGGACTTCGATGCATTAGAGCCCAGGGCCTTACTCAGGCTAGGGATCTGCCATGGAGCCACACCCCAGCCACAACTCCTGAGTCTATGTTGCTTGCCAGAGGCTTGGGGGCACCATGCCTCTGTCCTTGAAGTCTTGAGAAGATGGGCCAGAGAACTAGAAATGAACTGTCCTGTGTGTTGCTGTATTGGAGCCACCAACCCCTTGGTAACCTGAGAGACCTGGCTGCTCTTGCTGCCACTCCCATCTCTATCAGCCCCACCCTGGGTGGATAGTGGAGAAAGCCAGGGTGTGGACGCCCAGGTGCTGATCCATCAGGATGGCCTGAGTTTGACCAGGTTAAAACTTATGTCCACAGAGCTCTGTTCGTTCTTCCGTGCTGGGTGGGACCCAGAAAAGGGAGGCAGGCTGGCTACAGGGCAGGGAGGGCGGCTTGGCATGGCCTCTGTGTTGATGGAGTCATGTGGGCTCAACACAGCAACCTCGGGGAAAGCTTTGCTCTGGAGTCCAGGGTAATGTAGGTGTTTCCCCTCTTTGCAGGTGGACCCAAGGGCCACAGCAGTGCTGGCAAAGTGGCAGAATTCCCACAGCATCAAAGTCATCCTGCAGGAGCTTCGACGCTTGATGATGTCAAAAGAGAACATGAAGCTGCCACAGC